ATGGCCCGCCACCAAATCCTGGTCCTGCTACCTTCCAGCTATGCGACCTTGGGCAACCCATTTGAGTCTTTTGTGCCCCCTGGAAAATGAGAATAGTCATGGTTCCAGTCCACCACTTATGGGGGATGAAAAGAGTCAATGCGAGTGAAACTTAGACCAGAGCAGGTGTCGTTAATAAACGTTAGCTCATCGTACCTGCATTGCGCAGCAGAGGGCCCCAATTTATTTTTTCTAAAGTGATCTCACATGGGACACCAATTATACTGCCAGTTGTTGAATACGTGTTGTATGGCTGCCGCAGCTCTAGGTATTTTCTCACTTAACCCTCAGAACAATCCTGGGAGTTGGGTGTTATTATGCTCCGACTACTCTGCGAAAATGGAGAATTAGCCACTTACGGTAACTGGTACCCAGCTAATGAATGATAAAGCCGGTAGTCACGCTGTGTTCTCTCTGACCCCGAAGCCCACACTTTGAAACGTCACTGTTTCTTCAGTCATTAAATACTTATTGAGCACCAACCAGGAACCATGGAAATACGCACCTGCTTCTCACGTTTACTATTAAAATTTAAATCTTAGGAGTGAAAAGGTGATGCATCACAGGCCACCCGCCCACCCACAGTGTCTCTGTGCTTGCCATCAGCTTCTCCCCAGACTGTCTCCTCCTTTCTCTAAAAACCTTTGAATCTGGAAAATGAAGTCCTACCTTTGTACTTGCCAGACGGTGGGCGGCCTTGTACTTTTTCTCCACTGCGCGGTAAACTGCTCGATCGTACTTATACGCATACGTTCAGCCAACATTTATCAAACACCAACTCTATGTCCGGTCTCTGCCAAGTCCTGAGGACACAGTCCCCGGCGTCAGGGACAGAGTGGGAATGACCTACGGATAAACATGTACGGCCGTACCCATAATGCACGGCGACGCTTGTTAACATGGTCACCAGCGCCGAATGCCAGAAAAAGCGGCGATTCAGCGTGTTTGTGGGAGGGGAGGAGTCAAGCTAATTTTACAAGAAAATTAGCGTTTGACTGACTAGGAAAAACAAGGAAGAGCATTCGAGGCCCTTGGGACAGAGGCAGGAAAGCGTGTCCTGTCCGTGGGAATGGGGAGTTTTCTGCACGTGGCCAGAGTATACGGGGAGAGATGAGATGCAGACGGCAGGTCGAGACCAGATTGTGGAGCGTTTTGACGTCATCATGAAGGACGTGGACCTTGTCCTGTAGGCCAGAGGGAAAAGCTGGCCCCGATGTTTTTTAAGCAGGGACGCGCCTGCGACAAAATGAGTCAACAAGCCTGGGATCCCAGGGAGGCTGCAGGTGAGAATCCCTGGACGGAGAGGTGGGTAGGGGCTGGAGACCACGTGGCTCCACGTGGAAGTCGAGGCTGCAGTTGGTCGTTCAGGGCTGTTGAGGCATCGTGGGGCGTTCGGTGTAGATGTCAAGCAGGCTGTTGGGGACCTAGTGGCTAGCAAGGCTGCAGATCAGGGTGGCCACACTTAGCAAATAGATGCTCAGTTCAACTGGAATGTCAGATAAACAGCAAATCCTTCTGCAGTATTTGTGTGTCCCATGCAATATCTGGGACGACGAATCTCTTAAAAGTGTAAGTATATCCCAGATGGTACCTGAGATACACTAAATTAAGATGAGTCATTTATCTGACATTCCAGTTGAACTGGGCTTCCTGTATCTTATCTGGCGACCCTACCTGAGAGGTACCAAGGTGGCACGCTCTGGATCCTGGCCCCTTTCCCTGCCATGCCAGGATGTGGAGCTTTTATTACTAAACCTGGGATGGCCCGGGCAGACTGGGATGAGTCTGAGTTGCTCACTCGAGGCTGAACAGATGTTGGTCAAACTGAATTGAGAGAATTTTCCGACCCTTCTGAAACCTGTGGGGGCCTTCCGTTGGGGCTGGTGCTCTGTGCACTGTGAGGAACCGCAGACCACGCCAGGCCAGGGGTCCGCACCCCAGAGACCACTGTCTGCAGCTCCACGTCTTCACGAGGTCATCCGCTGCCTTGATCGTGCCAATGAATTCCAAGCTTTATTGGAATTTTCCTGTGGTTTGGATTTTCTTCTCGAGAAGAATATTTGCTACTGATTTAGTCCTGTTTTAAAATTCTGTCCGGTCGAGATGTTGTCCTGTTTTCGTCTCTGTGTGACTCTTCCTCAGTCATTTCCTTTCTTCTCAGTTCACTTGAGTCCACCTCCTGCAGTTTGCTTATCAGAGCGACATACACCACAGGCCTGGACTCGGTCCTGACATCTCCTTAGATTTAATCCCAATGCTGTTTCGCTGTCAAGCAGATGTGTATTAAAACGTGCATAAGAAAAGAAGCAAGCGGGGCTTATTTAGAAATTTCTTCAATTTGCACAAACTCCATTGGTAGGAGAGATTTTTTTTTTTTTTTCTATAAAAACCCACAACAAACGTATGTTAATAGCTTCTTAGATCAAGACAGATTCCTATTTGGCCATTTCTGCCATCATTCTGCCCCACTGGCAGAGACACAAAAACGGTGATTGAGTATTCAAAGATGCAGAGACATCTGTGGCACGTTGGAGCTTTTTTCCTTTCTTTCTTT